AGAAATAGCTAGAGTAGTGTCCTTGGAAACAGGAGTGGACACACACACACACACCCGCGCACGCACACACACACACACACACACACGATGCCACGTTTAATTAATGGAACCCATGATTTGCCTGTGGTATCAGAGTGGCTGTCATGACCGGAGGCGCTTAGCAGCACAGACACTGTCACTGCCGTGGAGTTGGTGGCCTCAGCATCCTCTCGCCCATGTATTTGGGTCCGGGGTCCGGTAAGTGGGACATTTTGCGGTTGAAACCCTGAAGCATCCTAGCGTCGAGCGGGGCCTCGTAGCTGCCGAGTTTGGTCCCTTTATATAAGACTTAGCAGAATATTTAAAAGTCACGATGTAGTCGCTGGTGTTAGTGTTCGTCCCTAACCAACAGATAGCAAAGACATATAACCAGGGTTTGCACTTGGTAGCGTATAGGTGCTTTTGTCCGCCATCCTCGGCAGCACTACTCTCAGGTTGGGCCAGTGGAGTCCATGCAGTATTTTGGATTTGGCCTGTGCACTCAGTGGCGGTTCTTGGTCATGTATCCTTGCAATTCAAAAGGCGAGAGGGGATTCACAAGATAGTCCATGCAACAAAAAGTCTTTGAACCTGTGTTTGTCGCGTTTCCTCCTGGTGTCTCTGTCAGCCAGCCATGGCAGGAACAGGGGTCCAGGGAGACCTGGTCGTTTTGTCAACGGGGTCTACCATTCCGCTCATATGCCTGCATTTGCCTGCAGAAAGTCTTCAGTATTGCGGCGTTCATTCGTCAACCAAGGCCATAATCCATCACATTCAATTTGCCCACATCATTACTCTGGCTCTCAGGACCTTCAAATTTAGCTTTTTAGAGCGCGCTGGCCCTGCGCGCAGAATCCACCAATGGCCAATCTTGAGATGGTCGATGGGGTGCCAGCAGAGGTTGAGTTGCCCGTGTCCACCTCACCTTTGCCTCCAGGCGCTGTAGAGATACAGTAGCTAGGGCTGTGAGTGGTCAGCACTTCCTATCAATGATCAATCCCGTGGTCCTGGCGCCAACACACAGACCTCATGTTTTTTGTGCCAGGTGCGCAGCCTGTAGGCTCTGTGGCTACTGGCACGCAAGAGAAGATGGCAAGCACCACGGCAGGGCCTGCGAGTAACCCCTTGGCGCTTCGACATGAGCGCCTTCAAGGAAAGATCACCAAGCCAACCAGCGACAAAAGTGAAGTTGTGGCCTATTTCCCAAAAGTCAGGTCTACAGCAGTGAGCTGGATGGGACAGCGTTTGTTTGGTCTTAGTTCGGTGTTGTCGCACCGTCACACCTACAGTAATCCAAATAATTACCGTATAGATATATTTCCGTTATGTTATATCATGTTGTATCCAGGACCTAGGAACAGTTCAAAGCGAGTTTGCCGATTTGATTTGCCAGCAGCTTTATTGTGGGATCACCCCAGGTATGTGGTGCAGAGCGGCACCGGCTTTTTGAAGAGCCACTTGTTCGAGGGTGAACTTGGCTTCAAAACCGACAACGCACCTCGAATTCGACAGCGGCGAATCAAATCATGGCCAAACATGGGGGCAACTGTCAAAGTTCAGCGAGAAAACACGTGTTTATTCCTACACGTGCTGCAAAAAGACCTGGTGAAATGACGGCGCACATACACTTGGTAGTTGAAACCCATCCTTCCCAACTAAAAGAAAGCGCTGCTTCCCCTCAAAGACTCCAAGCTGAAGTCCAGAGTCTAAAGTTGTCCAAAACCGTGGGAAGCGATGGCGCCACATGTATGCATCGCCCAAACATATGCTATGCAGATACCCAAACTACGAGACGAGACTATGTTTTACTTGCGGTAGATATTTGTATAGATAAGATATGTTTTTTCCTTCTTGGTCTTGAGCGGTGGTTGCAGCGCACTATGCATGTCACAATCCGATCTATATAACCCCAATTGAGGCCTGATGGGTTTTGGGGCCTTGTGCAGCACGGAAGCTTCTAGAAAGCTCATGATTGCGTTGGATGACTGTCCCAGGTCCCACAAGCTTGTGACAAGCATGGTTTGTTGAGTCGAAGATGTAGATAGGTCTGGCTAATGCTGTCTCCAGATAACCAGGGTTGCAAAGGCCCATGCATTCTGTTCTTTTGTTTCAGTTAGTCATCAGGTAATGTTGGAATGCCAGAATTACGAGTTCAAGGAAGATGAAAACGTCGAGTTCGATGTGCAAGCTGACGAACGTGGGAGGCCGCATGCTACTGCACTCAAGCCTGTGGTTGGTAGAAAGCCAAGCGATTGTTTCTCATCACAAGCTTAGTACGTGTGTTTGTTATTTGTGGGTTCGCCGGAGTCGCCGTCGTTTTATATATAACCCTTAAGTTTATGTAGCGAAACACCCGGAAAAACTTTAGATTCATGTTCCAGCTTGCCTTCATTCTCAGACTGTTTTTCCAAAACAGAGTTTTTGCTTTATAGGTGACTATTTGTTTTGGCAAGTTGCCCAGCAAGATCCTGGTTACTTTTTCACCTCCACTTGAAAACAGCAATTTCCTTCCATATAACCGGAGCATAGGCCGAGGCCGATTTGATTTGAGACCGGTGCGTGTGTGGCTGAGAATGGTCAATCCCTACCACTGTAAATCCAAGGCTTGGGACAACGCCACAGAGGGTATGTGCGACGCTTTGCAGATCGGTGGGGTTTCTTGAATGCGGCGGCCTTCGATGGCGATCTCTTCGTACATAGGGACACTTGGCTCGCCTTCTTCAATTGCCAATCCTTGCGACTTACCAAGAGTTTGCTGAGGCAATAGATTCCACATGTATGTCACAACGGTGTTCAGATTTGTATGCAGTCAATAGCGTTACCACTGCTAAAGAGTTACTATGCTACCCTCTCACGGACCGAGAAGATGCAGCTACAATCCCAAAGCAGTTTGCGTGGAGCTCGTGCCTTGGAACGTCTGAGGACAATTTGCTCCTTGGGCCTGAGCAAATCCAAGATGGCCAACCACCTTTGCGAACAGGCAAGTTTGGTTGTCTGGAATACTACTGTATATTCATGTATATTCACTTGATCCTCGTTTCAGTAAAGTAAAGAGCGATTCACGTGCAAAGCCCTTCAATTAGGTGGAGCATGGTGGAGCTGGGTCCTTCAGCGTGTGGACAATTGATTTGTGTTGTCGAAGAGTTCAGCACCATAGGCAGTTGGGAATCTTCTGTAGTAGGATCCTCTCCAACTGCACCCAGCTTTTCCTCACTTTCCATTGTCAGGCCAGGCTGTGGAGTTTGACATCGCATTAGACGATCGGGGTCGGACTGCGGCTCGCCTGGATGGCTTGGCTTTGGAACCATTTGGGTAGGTCTCATTGGGCCATTGGGTCTTCCCTGTTTCAATTCACCCATTTGTGGTTGGCTTACGCAGATTTACACAGGAGTGGTTGGTTGGCTTCATTTCACCGATTTGTGTTGAATGTTGAGAAACTATGAGGAACCTACATAGAGTTATATATACAGCAGTGTGAACCGGACTCAGGTGGCGAAACAAATCACCACCAGTGCCTTGCTTCGGCCCTGCGACTGGATCGGCCGCCGGCTACAGGGCGTGATTCGGTCATTTCAGGGAGCTTGGGGCTTTGTCAACTCTGACAAGTTTGCAGGGGACGCTGGGAACCAATGACCTAGCAGCTTTTGCATAGTGTAACTTGCTGTGTCAGATTTGTGTTGGCTGTTTTGTTTTGCTGTGCTTTGGACATGTCATTGTTCCCAAGTAAATTCCAAGGTGTTCCAACATGGTGCTCCGACAAATTCATCCAAACACCAAATTGTCATGATAAGGGTTGTAAGAAAATAGGGGTTGCAGGTGCTGGTGGCTTAGCACCTAGGTATTGAAGACGGTACGTCGTTTCTGATAACGCTTTGCATGTTTGTGTTTCAATTGAGTTTGTGTTAATTTGTGCTGTCTCGTGCATGTGATGCTTCATGTAAAAAGACAACCTTGAATTAGTTTTCGGTCCATGAATGTAGATCATGGCCCATGTCACTCTCAGATGCCGAGTGTTCCATTATATACATTTGCCTTCTTTAATTATTCATTCACACTTCACAATCAGTACACATCAAAGTAGTTACATAGCCCCAGTGCCGTTTTCGATGCAGCCAGGATTTGTTTGTTCACCGTGATGCCTTGCTCCAGCAGTTTCAAGACGTGGAGCTCACCGCTGGAACAATTGTGGAGTTTGATGTGGAAAGGGACCATCACAAAAAGAGTGCCCCGGTCAAGCAGAAATATTGAAGGGATACTGCATTTGTGATGCCGCTGGACCCTTCACTTTTAGATGTGAGATTTGGCAAGATGTACTTTTTTGATGCCACTGACACTCAGGTGGGAAAAACAGATTGGTGGCACGGCAGGTAGCAATCCTCCATCCGGCAGCTCTACACAATGCTCATGCGGCCTTCTCCGGATTCGGAACAGCTATGCCACAAAGTATGATGCCCCAGCACGGCTTGAGTCGCTTGCTTTCGCAGAGGAAACCTGTTGGGAGCTTGCCTGGTGTGACACGGAATCAAATGCCAGCTTCTTGCTAGGGGACTATACTGCCTATACTTATATAGTTGCGGGATTCAGACGTTTCCACTTCACCACCAGCCAAGATTGCTCAACACATGTGACAGTTTTATATATATATATAGACAGAGAGAGAGAGAGAGAGAGTTCATAAGTTTCACCATTTATTGGAAACTCAGGCCATGTCGACCCGATGGCTCACTATGGCAACATCTATGGCACTATGGCGCCCCATTCGTTTCCACAACCTTCGCTCTACTACCAAGGGGCATCTCCAATGGCAGATCAGCAGTACGCTGCGCCTTTCTCATATGAGCTTGGTCAGCATTGACTGTACAAAATGATTATATATTTAAAGCGAACGGTGAATAGAGCCAAGTGGCTGGGCGGGTCTAGCAGGGGCGCCCTCATAAGCACAGGCCTATGTAGAGCAACTGTGTCAAATAAGGCAAGTTGGGCCAGATTATGATGTCATAGGCCCAAATATAGACCCAAATGCCTGAAAGAGAAGTAAAACCCCAATCGTTTGCACGTGAGTTGCTTGGACTGGACTGTCAAACCACACCCTGCAGACTTCTATAGATACATACATAGGGCAGGTACGGCAGGGCTGATGTTTGAGCACAGTCATTGCATGAATCCGTTTTCCATGCATACTCGCATAGGAGTTATAGGTTGGGTCTGTCCTATTACCTGTAACAGTCAGTAAACAGTAAACAATTATCACTACTTTTGGACAAGGCCTCAACTATAATCATCCACTGTTACAGGTATTAGGATAGACCCAAGTTATAGGTGTCTCGCGCCTCGCTCAAGGATCCTTATGGACACAATGCAGGAATGATGCAAGCAGCGATGCCTGCATCAGCGCCCATGCTGCCAGCCTGCGGGCAATCTATGTCGCCAACACAATTTGGTACAAATCCAGTGAATGCGGGCTGCACACCTGGCTCGCAAGGAGTGCAATCTCCCATCAGCCAAGCCGCGTCCTGTCTCCTCACAGTCTTTTTTGTGGAATGTTTGGGTCATGTTTTCTCAGTGAGCATCAGTTTGTTGGAAACAGTAACAGTAGCGGAATTGTCGCAAAGTGGCTTCCTGGGCCTTCACAAGTAATTACAGCACAGGCTCCAAACTTCCAAGCTGCATATCAGATGCCCTTCGGCCAAGTGAGTGATCAATCTCTTCAGCGTCTTTGCTGCATGTGGCTAGGTACAGGTGCCGAATGGTGGAGGACCAGAATGAGCGATGTTTTCTTATGGTTGCCACCCTCAACCTGCACAAAACAATTTGAGGTGAGTCGCTGGCGGACAACATCCAATCATTTGGAACAAGAGAACAGTTTCCAGAAACAGAAACAGAAGAAAGCGTTCCCAAACATCCAATAATTGTTGGACAATGAGAATCATTTGAAAATCATATTGAGTTTTTGAGAAAGGGGCTAGGGGTACAACAAGGGGACCAGTTGCAGTTTTGAAAGTCCTTTCATTTGGCTCTCCTTGCGCTTTCACTAAGGCAAGGACCGTCACCGGCGCAACCCCCGGATGGTGAAACGTCCGAAGGTGCACAAGTGCTGCTTCACATTACTACTCATGACTGGGAGTCTAGGCTATACAGGTCAGCAGCTGAGGCTTTTCTATGTTGATTTTCTTTGCGTTTGTTGACCTGATTGGGATTTTGCCGTACTGTTTTTGGAACCATACGATGTAGTGTACATGGGTCCTTCTAGGCCCTCTAGGCCCTAGGCACCATCCTGCAGTGCATTTTCCTGCTGCAACTCCTGTGGAACTCGTCAACCAGACGCAGTCAGTTTTGTGCTCACCTCAACCATCATGAAGCCCCGGCAAAGCAGATTCAGAGCCACAACTACAAAGCGGACTTGAAGTTCCAGACCATTGGAGATGTCCCTCTCCAGATAAGATATGATGAGATGACGGATGACGCCTTTGTTTCTTCCCAGCTGTGCTAGTTTCTTGCTGCTGGACCTTGTCTAGTACTAATGGGGCCAAGGAACCAGATCAAGCCGGACAACTTCGAGTTCGAGATTTGGCACAGGGAAAGGCTGTTATGGGCACCTTTGAAGCTTTTGTGAGCTAGGCCAGCTTAATTAATTACTCGGAGCCTGGAGGACGGCAACGAATGCGCAGCCGGGTAAACAGTTAGTTCAAGGCCTCAACCCAGTAGATTTGTTTGGGCGTTTTCACCTCCCAGAGCGGCCTGACAGCCCAGGAAAGGGTACCCTAGTCAACGTCTCGCATCGGGCAGCCCATGGCTGGGTCTATGCCGCCACTGTGAAGCATGGAGAGCAGGCGAGCGATCCTCCCAGCGAAGGCAGGGTAAAGGGTGAATGGGTGAGTCAGTATTTTCATGTGGAATTGATTCGGTGCATGTAAGTTTAGGATAGTTTTGGTTTCTTGTGTTTTTCTTGCGGTAGTGTAACTATGAGCAAGTTGCTATGGTGTGATGTGATACTTTACTGCCTTTTTTGTAACAGTTAGTTCCTTTGCCATCAGATATTGCTTCCCCAGAATGTCAGAGTCAGAGGTGAGAAGCTCGGGATTTTGCGAAGCCTGACCTTGCGCAGGTTGGGTGCCACATGCCGTGGCGAAGAGGGTGTCGCTTTGTAGAGTTGCTGCAGATTGGCCAGAAGAAGGTGAGGAGCTGCAGTTCGACTCTGTTCTTTCGGAGCCTATCAGACGAGAAGGAAATAGGGTTTGACCAGTGACCAGTCGCTAATTAGAATAGCGCCTGCAATCGCCTGTGAATACTTTGTGTCCGTGGAACACCTGCTAGTTGAAGGTATTGAACCAGGGATTGTCAGCTTGGACGAGTCAGTATAGTTGCCTATGTTTCTTGGACAGACACAATCACAAAATATGTATGTATATAATTGTATATATATATATATACTACAGTACATATGACTGTAACTGCAACTTCAACCATTCAGCTGTACATCAGGGGTTCTGAGGCGCAATTCGCTTAGCTAAGCGGCTGCGCATGAGGTGCTGGCACATTGGGCCTCTTGAAGGGTGACCTAATTGCGGTGTCCAAGGAGGCTGAGCGAGGATGGGCCGCTTTGCTGTTAAAAGAGCGAGGCCATACGAGGCTACAAACTATTCTGAAACGTTAGAATCCACCATCCTTTGTGGTTTTGCCCCATGTGCACATATGTTCTCCAAGAATAGTCAGTAGGCAGTCAGCAGGGAGCTGCTGGCATCGAAGTCACAATCAAGCGGCTTTGTGACAAATCGTGGTAGGTGGCAATGCTTTTCTTTGCACTTAATGGAGACACATTGCCGCGGATTCGCTCAGGTGTATGGTGAACGAATCAGCCCGAAACGACCTGACACTCCCGTGGATGGCTGGCTTCCCAAGAAGGTCCTGGAATATATTCTGGTCTAGAGGCGCCTCCGCCTGACTCAGGAGGAAACTTGGGCGTATCGCGTAGCAAGTCTTATAGGCTTGTTTTGAACCAGAAGAGTCCGGCAAAAATTGTTGGTCTGCGGGCTGCGCCAAGGATGTTGGGAGATGGCTTGAAGGCAAAATGATACTGATAGTGAGAGAAGATCAGGCGCCCATCCCAGTATCAGAAAGTTTTGGTAGCCTTGTTGCATGCTGACTTGACTTGCTTAGCTGCTACCTTCCGGGACATTCGTGCGACAGTGACCTAGTCGCTGTTACACCAGAACTGTTATGAATGGCATTGGCTCTAGCTGAGGTTGGATAATATCCATTTAGACTCTAGATCACTGTTTGTTGAACCATAGAACGTTTCTTTTGTTTCCGAAATATTTTGCATTTTGATGTTCCAGCAAATTATAACGCTTGAGCCAAGAATTATGTCAGCATATTGTTCGCCTTGGTACTGGCACTGGCCGGCCGCCACACCGCTCATCCACGGAGTATGCCGCTAAGCCAACTGGTTCTCGTACTTGCATCCATCGTTTGAGGCAACGGAACAGATTGAAACAACCAGAGGTAACCGACCTTACCACCTATCACAGGCTGTTGTATCATGTCTCTTTAGCGGTTGTGGCGTGCTGGCGTTTTGGCACTTCCGCGCCCCCTCTCGAAACCTCTGACCTCAATGTCTTGCATTTCTGTGAGCCTAAAAAGGGCCCGACTTCAGGGAGCTGTGACTAAGCTGGAAGATGCCCGCGATGCACCTTCAGCTCTCTTGGACTACAGTAATTGGCTGATCTATGATTTATGGATTCATTATATCACCTATGATGCCAACCAAGAGTTCCAGTTTGGTCATGTTCTGACGTCTCAGCTCTGCAGTTTTTCCCAGGTAGCCACTGCACGTTCTTCAAGCAGGTTTGGCACTTGTTTTCGGGCTCAGGCCAAACAACCCATGGAGCATGACAACACTTTGACTTGCAAAACAAGGCCGCACATGCTATGCACCAAGCAACATCTAAACGTTCTTCTCCGAAGGGAGGAGCAGGTCTCAAGCGACGGTATGCTGATGGGAGGGCCCTCCTTCTCTCGCCACGGTGGGTAGAATCAAAGCTGTTCAGAGACTGCGCCCCCGATTCTGCCAGAGAGTCTGAATTTGCCTTTGAGATGTTGTTGGTCCTTGTGCAATTTGCCCCAGGCCCAAGTACCATGCACTGATTGACTCTGGAGCTCTTGTACCGGGACTCAGGATGGCATGCCGGCATGCCTCAGTGTTATTAACCTTGATTCATATAGTTATTATTCGGAAGTTCTCATAGCCGAAGCCAACTTAACAAACAGGTTTGTGCGGACATACCGTTTCAACTCAACCCCAATGTTCACTTTGCCGCAGCAAAGGAGATCATTGACCAATCGCATGAGGATATTTGGTGCGTGATCACATGGAACTGTAGCTTGCTTGGACAACTCGTTCTGGTGCTGGGCATGGCACAAGATAATCACCTTATTCCCGTTGGCATGGAGCCTGAAGGATGGAGAAAAACCTTCTTTGTGGTGGCTTGGGTCACAGGCCCACTCTCATGAAACCGGTTTCAGTCTTTGTGTATATTGAGTACGTATATTGAGTACCGTGGACTGCTCAGGTCACAGGCTTGAGCAACAGTGAGGTTGCGGAGTGGCGACTCCCAGAGTTCCGAGATTAACAAAGCGTTTGCAGATCTGTGGGAGGCGCTGTGGAAGGCAAGTCAGATCTGCAGGGGCCTTTGGCATTCCCTGAGGTACTTGCTGAGCCATGGACTGGAAGGTTTGGATGGCGTGCTCTTTCTGAATGAGCGAAATGAACGTGCCGGGCCAACCAAGCCGACCTGCTGGGAATGGCGAGCCGGAGCAGCAGCAAGGGTAGTTAAATTAAGGTTAAAGTGAAGATAATTGAACTCAGCGATAGGCACCGTGTAGCCCCCTCAAAAAATAAAGATGGGGACAGCGAAGGGATTGGGTACTTGATCACAATGATGCTGACAAACAGGCTGTTGGCCAATATGTATAATTTGTGAAATGTCGGTGAATTAAAACCCGTTCTTTGTTTGTAGTCTCTCTCTCTCTCTCTCCCTCTCCGCACTAGATTCTACAGCAGATGCAGTTCAATCACGTTTGCAATCTTGTGTCTGAGGTTGTCCTAGAACGTGACAGCATGAAAATTGTCGAGCTCGTACTGGGCCCAGGGAGTGTATCCTTGCAAGGTGGATGTCAGCACTATTGGTCACTGTAGCAAATGTTGAACATTGATTCTAAAGTGGTTCGCTTACAACACCCCTGAGGATGTGACAGTGTAGTTGCATCTCCTGCCCCCACTAGCAGCACTACCGTTTGTATTGCACCCAGTGCAGCAACATATGGCTCAAGAAGTTGTTTGAAGTCCGGGGCTGCGGTAGAAATGGGGGCCAGTCTATGTGGCCGCCGGATTCCACAGCGGAAGGCAGGAGGATAAGATTGTTGAATTGTTGTACAGGAATGAGAAGTAGTATATTCAGCATAGTCCGGCATCGTATATATATATATATAACAATATATCTATTATAGAGGAGGTGCGGTTTGGGTGCGAACACAGGCCTGCTTTTGCCAGGTGGCCGATGCGACCTTTGCCAAATCCAAAGTGGATCTTGTGAAGGTGGACTGTGCGGTGTTGGTTGGCCTAGTCAGTTTGCCATGTATATATAGAATAAAACTTGCGGGAAGCACGTGGAAATTCATGTGTCATTCATACTACTGCACCCGTCGTTTAAGAAGGTGCTTGTTGAACTCGTTGTCTCCTGTCCAGGCGAGTCTTCACATGATCCAGTTCCTGCAGGCATGAATATTTGATGAGCATGTTGGTAAGCATACTGTATTGGAATGGAATGGGCGGGCATCTTGCCGATACAACACCCTGGGAGTTTTCAAGTGCCCAGCATAGAGAAAGATGCAGAGTTCTTTTACATAGCTTGATTCATCTTGATTCTATCCAACTTGGCTTACAATGGTGGACCATGCTGGACCCTGGTTTGAGCAGCCCTACCTTTAAGTTTCTCCCAGAAGGACCAAAGATGCTTGCGGAGATGGTCAAACTGAAGGTGCTTGGGCTCCTTTAAAAGGAGCCCCTGTTCAGTGGAGGCCTAACTAAAGGGACCCAAGCACCTTCCATTAGCATTTGTCTCTAGGCTGCATTGCAGTCCAAACTGGTAGGGCAGGCTGGCCAGGCTGCTAAGTCGCTTTGTGCCCACAGGAGGTAGAGCGGCATCCCGCTCTCTACAGCAACGAGCGCCTCCTCAAAGATGCGGTACGACGCTATGAGGAGATTTGGCTACCACTCTTGGCGAAACATCGGCACCTTGGATGAATAGATTTACTGTAATAGTCGTAAGAATGCTCCTAGTAGCGATGCCAGGAGCCCCTAGTAGCGTCCTAGTAGTAAGGCCAGGAGCCCCTAGAAGTAGCGTCCTTGCTCCTAGTAGTAAGGCCAGGAGCTACTAGTTGAAGTGACGCTTGTATATATAAATGCACAAATTGTGAGCACATTGTTTGACTGAACTTAGCGTGACATTTGATACCCATTTCAATATGTTCAATGAAGCATATCCCTCGAAAGCACCCAAGATCACCCGAGGTATCCTACAAATCTGATTCCGCCTTTGGACGTGGAGTGTCCTGGCTGCACTTCTAGCGCTTGGGCCGAGACTGACCCAGAAGGGCCCTACTAGGTTACTAGCATAATCACATGGATCCCCCTTGCCTTACTTGTTGGTTTGTGAAAGCTCGTCCCCCTCAAATAGGTTCACCGGGCCATATCTTGGCAAGGTGGTGGATAAAGATTTTCACTTATGTGACAATTGTTGGCAGGGGTGCGAGGACCTGGAAACCATTTCATGAAATCAGACAGAAAGCATTAGCATTTTACAGCAACATGTGATGCTTGGAGAGTAATTTCACAATGGGCTCCGGAATGCCTAGAGAGGGGGGTATTTTTGTAGAGGGCAGTGTAAGTGAAAATAGGAGGCCTATGAGCTAGCCAAAGTTTTCGTTCATGAGCTCCGTGCCACTAATTCCCCAGAAGAACTTCAGAGAACACACCCCATCTCCAAATCGTTGTATATTTGATAGCAAGGTCAATGATGACCCTCGGACATCTGCAATCGTTGTTGCCAAAACAGCTAGCAGTGCGGGTGTAACAGCAAGGGTAGGTCATAGTTCTCCAAACTGCTTGAGGCTTTAGGCTTTTTGTCAGGTCAATTGAAGTCTGTGAAATGCTTGGCCAGCCCCCACTAGGTCCTTTGTTTTGAGACGCACCGAACACCAGTTTATAGACCCCCCAGGCATCAAACATGAAGCAAGGGCTGTATATGAAGCATTATTGATGGACAAGAATTGAACATACGGATCCTCAGGGATTCCCGTGCTGTCAGGCCAACCAAATGTTTGCATTTGAATTATTGAGGCTTTTGTGATCTGTCAGCGTTTGCCGATTCCCTTTGGACTTGCAGGTGGGTTTGGCATTGCCATATGCTTTGTCCTATTTCCTACCAGCAAGAGGCCGGATGTTCAATATCCAATAGTTTTGGATGACTTCTGAATGGCGGGTTTGGGTTTCAATGAAAGCTTGTCAGTTCACTCCGTTGTACGACAATGTAGGATGTGTGGATTGGCAAGCGAGTGACAACTCTTGTATGTCGGAAAGGTTTGTCAAACATCTAGAACTCCACCCGCAATAAGAATGTTACACCCACAGGATGTGCCAACAGAATTTCTTGTTCCAAAGGCATATCAAACTCTGGCGGACACAATCGAGCATAGATGCACTAGTAACTATACTGTAGTAGTTTTCAGGCTGCTGCCATTGCTGGCCAAGCGCCACAGCACATTTTGCAAGCCAGGCGCATTTTGTGCAGCAATGGCAGGTTGTGGATTGAATGGATGCCTTGTTCGGCACAGGGGCCTCTCAGTTTCCAGCTAGTGGTTTCCAATGGTTTGTAACTACAGCGAACTTCTCTTTCCAAGCTGTTATCGAAGGGTTGCCCTTTTGCGCAGTCTTTTCGCTTGTTGTTGAGACTGTGATGGCAAATTTCATCAAATTTCAGCCGCCTTTGTGCGTTGACATTGCGCGTCGTGGGCCAGGTCAGGTGGCAAATTCAAAACTGCCAAGGAGAAGTCAGCCAAGCTTTGGGCAGAGGCGAAATGCGGCCGGAAGCCATATAACTTGTTGCATTCCCACGCTCAAGTACTTCCGGTGTGCCCCATCAATCCATTCTGAAGAGGGGCCTCAACCCGGTGCACAACGCATGCAGAGTGCAGCATTGTCATACATATTCTGAGTTTTGATATACCAAATGGAATCATGCTTCCTTCCTTGGGAACCGTTTCACTTGTGACAAGAAGCCTTTTAGTATGTCTTTGAAGCTTCTTAGTAACAAGAAAACGTTCTAGTAACTAGAAGCTTCCAATTTTGCTAAAAATTAGTATCCAACAGGGTTCTTCAGTTCTTCAGGATTCTTTGGCACCAGGTCGTTGCCTCTCACAACTGAGGTGTGTTGCTTTACAACAGTCATTTGGTGATTGTAGCATGATAGCATGTTCGTGACGATCTGCAACACTCACCCTGTCCGCGTTTTTTGGTTTTAGAGTGTGTGCGCAACAAGATATCCTTGCCTTCCTGGTGTATTGTTGGTAGTAGGTCTATTTTGGTTGACCAACGCCGGAGTCCCTTGTGTGGGAAGAGCCACGGCTCACAGCCAGAGGCTGCGTGCTGTCATGTTCTGCCGGTGAACTCTTCATGGATCACGTTTCTGATCCATCGCACAATTACATCGTTCTGCATTTGGTGCATAAACAACGCCCCGTCGATGGAACTGGAACGCACGCTCAAAACATACGTACCTTCGAAACACACCTGTGAAACATTCTCCGCAACCTACTAGGTTCAACGAGCATTGGCGCCTCCCTATTTACCGAAACCACACTAAATTTATTTGGTGACTTGGTGATCCTATACCGCTTCTGTGGCTTCCACCGTGGGGGTGTCGCTGCAGAACCGCTGCACTGCAGCTGGATCCTGCAGAGAGAGAGAGGGAGAGATAGGGACATTTCAGATTCCTGCGCCCCAGCGTCACTGTTGACGACCTTGTAGGCCACTGCTGAGCCATTTGAACTGAAACTGAATGTTGCCTTGGTCGAACCAAGCGAGGGCAATCGACAAAGATCCTTGGCAGAGAGTCAGGGTTTGAAGGATCTGTTGAATGACAGGTGCTAGCTTCCCGAATATGGGCTTTTGGTGGCTGCTGAGACAATCCATGTCACCAATCACGTAGGCCAGTGTAGTAGACGCCTATGATGTACAACAACGGGTCCCTTACAAGCCATTGTCATAGAAACAATTTGCCCAGCGGCCTCGGAAAGAGTTTGTTTACACGCTTTGAATGCCTCCACTTGGTTTGAGGGACAACCTTCAATGCCTCCCCAGACCTACAACCAGAAAGACAGTGAAGCGACAGCCGACACCAACTTCAACATGCCATGACATGCCCTCAATTTTGGCCTGCGTCAGATATTCTCGCTAGAGTTCTCACTAGTTGACTCTTAGGTTTCCCAAAAGCAGTGACAGAAGGAAGGGCAACAGCTACGTTTCGATAACATTGGAGTTGCAAGCAAGAAATGATAAGGTCCACCCAAGCAAAACGCGCGATAGTAATAGTGTTGGAATCTTGCAAGCCAAGAACAATAGCCATGCATTCGGAGTGTAACTTTAATTACCAGGACAACAACTTTGCAGGAATTGGTTGTAATCAGGAAGAGAAGGACATATAAAGATTGAATTTAAGTAATTTGAAGGCAGGCTGGATCTCTTCCAGAAGGGGGCAGCTTCTCCTTTTTGTGGCCTAGGTAAGATTGCGTATGATTTAGTCAGTGCAGCTGCTCGCCAAGCGGCCTTCTACTACCAGGTGGGGGCCACATCAGCTGTTTGTGAGCTCGTTGCCCTTTAAAACGCGACAAAAAACACATCCCGAGGTGGCAGTGCTTCCGCAATACAGGGACACCTACTTTTTGCAGTTGGCTGTTGAGAGCTTCTGGGTCGTGAATGAGATAATTTATGATTGTGCTGGAGCTAATGTGAGACGTGCGTCATTCTGGGGTCGTTTTCCAAGCCTTGCCTGAGCCAGACCCTTCCACAGCACTCCTGCA